CAGTATTACACTTATCCCAAAACCAGGCAAAGACACCTCCAAAAAAGGAGAACTATAGGCCAATCTCCTTAATGAACATTATGCAAAAATCCTCAAAAAATAATGCAAACCAATTCAACAACACATCAAAAAGATTATTCACCACGACCAAGTAGGCTTCATCCCAGGGATGCAGGGTGGTTCAACATACGAAAATCAATAAATGTAATAAACCACATTAACAGAAGCAAAGACAAAAACCACTTGATCATCTCAATAGATGCAGAAAAAGCCTTTGATAAGATCCAACACCATTTCATTGATAAAAGCTCTAAGAAAACTAGGAAAGAAGGAAAGTACCTCAACATTATAAAAGCTATATATGACAAACCTACAGCCAGCATTATACTTAACGAGAAAAAAAACTCTAAAATCAGGAACAGACAAGGATGCCCACTCTTCCTATTCAACATAGTACTGGAATTCCTAGCCAGAGCAATTAGGCAAGAAGAAGGAATAAAAGGAATACAAATAGGTAAAGAAACTGTCAAAATATCCCTATTTGCAGATGACATGATCCTATACCTTAAAGACCCAAAAAACTCTACTCAGAAGCTCTAGAACCAATCAATAGCTATAGCAAGGTAGCAGGATATAAAATCAACATAGAAAAATCATTAGCATTTCTATACACTAGTAATGAAAGAACTGCAAAAGAATATATGAAAACAATTCCATTTACAATAGCCTCAAAAAAAATCAAATACCTAGGTGTAAACATAACAAAGGATGTGAATGACCTCTACAAGGAAAACTATAAACTTCTGAAGAAAGAGATTGAGGAAGACTATAGAAAGTGGAGAGATCTGTCATGCTCATGGATTGGTAGAATCAACATAGTAAAAATGTCTATACTCCCAAAAGCAATCTACATGTTTAATGCAATTCCCATCAAAATCCCAATGATATTCATCAAAGAGATTAAAAATCTACCGTTAATTTTATATGGAAACACAAGAGACCACGAATAGCCAAAGCAATACTCTGTAAAAAGAACAATGCTGGAGGCATCACCATACCTGACTTCAAACTATATTATAAAGCAATAGCAATAAAAACAGCATGGTACTGGCACAAAAACAGACATGAAGACCAGTGGAACAGAATAGAGGACCCAGATATGAAGCCACACAACTATAACCAACTTGTCTTTGACAAAGGAGCTAAAAATATACAATGGAGAAAAGCAGCCTCTTCAACAAAAACTGCTGGGAAAACTGGTTAGCAGTCTGCAAAAAACTGAAACTAGATCCATGTTATCACCCTATACCAAGTATTAACTCAAAATGGATCAAGGATCTTAATATCAGACCCCAAACTCTAAAGTTGTACAGGAAAGAGTGAAATACTCTGGAATTAATAGGTAGGTAAGAACTTTCTCAATGGAACCCCAGCAGCACAGCAACTAAGAGATAGCATAGATAAATGGGACTTCATAAAACTAAAAAGCTTCTGCTCACAAAAGAAATGGTCTCTAAACTGAAGAGACACCCACAGAGTGGAGAAAATTTTGCCAGCTACACATCAGACAAAGGACTGATAACCAGAATATATAGGGAACTAAAAAACTAAATTCTCCCAAAATTAATGAACAAATAAAGAAATGGGCAAGTGAACTAAACAGAACTTTCTCAAAAGAAGAAATTCAAATGGCCAAAAAACACATGAAAAAATGCTCACCATCTCTAGCAATAAAGGAAATGCAAATTAAAACCACATAAGATTCCACCTCACCCCTGTTAGAATAGCCATCATCAGCAACACCACAACAACAGGTGTGGCATGCGGGAAAAAGGAACCCTCTTACACTGCTTGGTGGGAATGTAAACTAGTACAACCACTCTGGAAAAAAAAATTTGGAGGCTACTTAAAAATCTAAACATTGATCTACCATTGATCCAGCAATACCACTCTTGGGATATACCCAAAAGATGTGACACAGGTTACTCCAGAGGCACCTGCACACCCATGTTTATTGCAGTACTATCACAATAGCCAAGTTATGGAAACACCAAGATGCCCCACTACTGACGAATGGATTAGAAAATGTGGTACCTATACACAATGGAATTTTATGCAGCCATGAAGAAACGAAATGTTATCATTCGCAGTAAATGGATGGAATTGGAGAACATCATTCTGAGTGAGTTAGCCTGGCCCAAAAGACCAAAAATCATATGTTCTCCCTCATATGTGGACATTAGATCAAGGGCAAACACAACAAGGGAATTGGACTTTTATCACATGATAAAGTGAGAACACACAAGGAAGGTATGAAGATAGGTAAGACACTCAAAAAACTAGAGAGCATTTGTTGCCCTCAACACAGAGAAACTAAAGCAGATACTTTTTTTTTTTTTTAGTTTTATGAACTCACTCTTTTTTTTAATTGTTTTATTATTCATATGTGCATACAAGGCTTGGTCATTCTCCCCCCTGCCCCCACCCCTCCCCTTACCACCCACTCCGCCCCCCTCCCTCTCTCGCCACCCCCTCAATAACCTGGCAGAAACTTTTAGCAGATACTTTAAAGCAACTGAGGCCAATAGGAGAAGGGAACCAGGAACTAGAGAAAAGGTTAGTTCGAGAAGAATTAACTTAGAAGGTAACACACATGTATAGGAAATCAATGCATGTCAACTCCCTGTATAGCTATTCTTATCTCAACTGGCAAAAACCCTTGGTCCTTCCTATTATTGCTTATACTCTCTCTTCAACAAAATTAGAGATAAGGGCAGAATAGTTTCTGCCTGGTGAGCAAGGGTAAGGGGGGTAAGGGAGGATGGAGGGAGGTGTAAGAAGAGGGTGGGGGAAGGGGGGAGAAATACTAAACAATGTGTGCACATATGAATAAAATAAAAATTTTTTTAAAAAAGTTAAACATAGTGTTACTATGTGATCTTGATTCCACTCTTAGGTGTCTACCTAAGAAAATGAAAACGTGCCCATACACAAACTCATACACCAATGTTGGTATGGTTTAAGTGTATACTTCAAGGGTCAACATGTTGGAAGCTTCATCCCAGTGTGGCAATACTAAAAGAGGGTATGATCTTTACAAGGTGGGACATAGTGAAAGGTCTTTAACTCTTTGGGGGTGTTACCCTCAGAAGGAATTAATGTAATTCCATGAGACCCAGGTTAGATTTTGCAAAAGAGTTGCTATAAAAAAGCAAGCCTGTTACCTCGTGCTCTCTGATTTCCTGTCTCACAATGTGATCTATCCCTCTTGCGTGTGCTTCTTCCATGATGCTATCTACCATGTGACATAGCCAAGGTCCCCTCACCAGAGCAGAGCAAGAATTTCTTGAACCTTCAAACTGTGAGCTAAATAAGCCTTTTTCTTTATACATTACCAGTCTCAGTTATTTTGTTAAAGCAATGGAAAACAACTAATACAAATGTTATAACAGCATTATCCATATAGCCAATAAGTAGAAACAACTCAAATATCCATCAACTGATGAATGAATAGACAAATCTGGTATATTCATTATAATAGATATTATTTGGCAATAAAAAGGAAGGACATTACTACTGATTCATACTCAACATGCATGAACCTTGAAAATATTAGCTAATGAAGTTAATCCAATAAAAATAGTAAAAAAATAAAATCCTTATAAACACACACAACGCCAATCACAAAAAAACATACATTATGTGATTCCATTTATATGAAATGCCCAGAACAGGAAAATCTGAAGACAGTATTTTGTGTTTGCTTAGGCTGGTGGACAGGGGAATGAAGAATGACTACTTATGGAGCTGGGGTTTTCTTTGGGGATAATAAAATGTTGTAAAGTTGTTTCAAATGAAAAATATTGATGGTGATGATGATTGCACAGCTCTGTAAGTACTGAAAGCAGCAACTCTTCATTTTAAATATGTGAATATAGTATATGAATTAATTTGTGATAAATCTAAAAAAAAAAAGAAAACCATAGGCATCCGTTTCTCTGTTTCCCCAGATGTAGGTTCCAATTTAGTGGGGAACGACATTAGAGAACCAAGCCTCAGTGGGTTCATCTTGAGACCTACTGAAATCAGATGCTGCAGTTACCTAAGAGGCCCCACCAACACTGAGGTCCCCAAAAAGAGTCCTTCAGGATATGTCTAGTCACAGCATGTTTAATTCTGACTTGACATTTGAAAGTCATGAGATTTCACATGTAAAATCCAGCTTTTATAACATTTGTTACCACCCAAAGATGGTAATCCCAGCCTGATCCCCAGATCAGCTTCAGGCTTCAGCAGCACCAGTACAAGCTTTCCATCACTCCGCTGTACCTCTCTGTCACTGAAACTGAGAATCCATTTACCATTATGGAATAAAGTGTTTGGTTTCATCTAAAACAGAAAACAAGACTAAATAATCTGAGAGTTTGGGGGGAAACAAAATGTAATCAGAGAGTCTGAAGGAGAAACAGTATTCTTGGTTCAGAGGACTAATGAGGCTGTCCATGTCACAATGACCAGCTTTTCCTCACATGTGCAGCGCTCTTCTCTTCCATGTGGCCTGGCTGGCCTCCACTGAGCTATAGCAGGATGCAATTTCTGTGTGTTAGGTTTTAAATGCCATAAGGCAGAACTTTGCTTTGCGAATGATTCACAATTTATCTCAGCAACTAATACAGGTTCAGCATAAAATAAATACTTTGTGACACGTGGTGAAGCAGGGGGAAAATGCAGCCAAAGCCCAGGTCCTTGAAACATTCAACCCCTCAGAAGCCATTTAAAGCCAAAAGAGTACAGGAGTCCATGAGAATTCTTCCTTCTCTCATCCTACCTCCTTTCATATACAGTATGTTCTTCATATCAAGTTAATTCAAAGGAAATTTTAGCCCTCTGAGACTGCCACAAGGTAGAATGGGATAAAATGTATTGATAAGTTGTGTTTTTCTAATTCTTAAAATAACCCCACCTATGATCATACCCTCCAACACAGTGTTGCTACTTACGTTTGATGGGATATCCTGGGAGTGGGCAGCAGCGCACATGCAACAGTGCAGCCAGCCTCGTCCTTCTGGTTTGATGCGGCCTTTCCACTCAGGTTGTGTCCATTAGCCACCTAAAAAGGGTTTTCGCCCTGAAGGGAAAAAATTTACAAACATTATATAAAATCAGCAAAAGCAAATCAATGCATACCACACTTATGGTAACCAATAGAGAAGATAACCACATATTTCCAATTCACCACAAACAGGGTGTGGAGAGATACAGGCATTTGTAAATTGAAAACATGAGTACAGAAAGTTACTCATAATAATCTTAGGTTAGGGCTCTGGAAGCCTAAGACAAAGATTCTCTTTGTTTTGGTTTTGGGTTTTTTTTTTTTTTTTTTTTTGCAGACTGCGGGCTTTGAATCAGGGCCTTGTGATTGCTAGGCAGGCACTCTACTACTAGAGCCATGCCCCCTATTTTGCTTTAGGTATTTTTCAAAAAGGG